AGACAGTTGCCCAAGGGTGGAATTGAACCCGGGCCCCTGGCACTGTGAGGCAGCAGTGCTAACGACTGAGCCGTTTTAGTTTATTTTTCTTTCTTTTGTGTCATAAATTTCTGTTTTATTGTCAAAATGAAATCTGCACCTTGGCATGCTTATATTTCAGTGAGAGACTGGCATGTTTCAACGAGATTAAAATAAACATCATCATCACCCAAGGAACAACTGCACAACTGTGGGAAGACATCCAGTCCCTTCACAGCATTGCTGAACACAGAGAAGGTCGGCCAGTGAAACCATCATCTGGAAATCAGTCGGATCAGGGGAGCTTTGTGATGACATCACCAGTGCTGAGGGATTACAATGCCACCAATGGATTCACCCTGCAATGTGATTCAGTGACACAGGATATGGAGCAACCATAAGGCCATAAGATATTGGAGCAGAATTAGGTCATTCAGTCCATTGAGTCTGCTCTGCCATTCAGTCATAGCTGATATGTTCTCAAACCCATTCTCCTGTCTTCTCCCTATAACTCTTGATCCCCTTAATAATCTCTGTCTTAAGAACACTCAATGACTTGGCCTCCACAGTCTTCTGCAGCAGACAATTCCACAGATTCGCCCACTTTCTGATGGAACATCATCTCAGTTCTAAAGAGTCATCCTTCATTCTGAGGTTCTGCCCTCAGATCCTAGTCTCTCTAACAAGTGGAAACATCTTCTCCAAGTCCACTCTATCCGGGCCTTGCGGTATTCTTTAAGCTTCAATGAGATTTAAACTCCATTGAGTACATTTCAGAGTCCTGAATCACTCTTCATATGGCACACCCTTCATTCCTAGGATCCTTCTTGTAAATCTCCAGTGAACCCTCTCCAACACCAACACATCCTCCTTTAGATACAAAACGGTGGCTGAAAACTGCTCACAATATTCCAAATGCGGTCTCACCAGAGCCTTATACAGCATCAACATCCCTTGTATTCTAGGCCTCTCGAAATAAATGTCAGCATTGCAATGCTGTCTTAACTGCCAACTGAACCTGCATGTTACCTTAAGAGAATCCTGAACTAGAACTCCCAAGTCCCTTTATGCTTCAGATTTTTGAAGTACTTCCCCATTTAGAAAATAGACTATGCCTCTATTCTTCCTACCAAAGTGCATAACCTCACACTTTGCCACATTGTATTCCATCTGCCACTTCCTTGTCTACTCTTTTCACCTCTGCAAGTACTCCTACAACTTCCCCACTTCCTAAATACTACCTGTCCCTCTGTCTGTTTTTGTGTCATCTGCAAACTTAGTGACAATGCCCTCAGCTTCTTTGTCGTTAGTGTAGATCGTGAATTGTTGTAGTCCCAATATTGACTCCTACCGAACCCAAAAAAGACCCCTTTATCTCCACTTTGTGCCTTCTGCCAGTCAGCCAATCCTCTCTCAATGCTAGAACCTTGCCCCGAACATCAAGGGCTCTTAATTTATTTAGCAGCCGCCCGTCCTTGTCAAAGGCCTTCGGGAAATCCAGATAGATCATGTCCACTGGCAATCCTTTGTCTAACTTGCTTGTTTCCTCCTCAAAAAGTTCTAACAGATTTGTCAGGCATGACATCCCACAGATGAAGCCATGCTGACTCAGCCCTATTTTACTATGCACTTGCAAGTGCTCCACAATCTTATCCTTAATAATGGACTTCAAAAATTTACCAACAACTGAGGTCAGGCTAATGGGTGAAAAATTTCCTGTCTTCTGCCTCTTTCCCTTCTTAAAAAGGGATGTCACGTTAGCCATTTTCCAGTCCTCTGGGACCCTCCTTGAATTCAGTGATTCCTGAAAGATCACCACCAATGCCTCTACAATCCCTCAACTACCTCCTTCAGAACCTGCAGTGCACTCCGTCTGGTCTGAGTGACTATCCACTGTCAGACATTTCAGCTTCTCCTGCACCTTCTCCTTCGTGCCAGCCACTACACTCACCTTTGCTCCCTGACTCTCTGGGACCTTTCCTTTTATCAGGGTGTGTATCCTTGGATATTTAATTCTTGGCCCAATTCCCTTGCAGCCATTTCTATGTAATGCCCACAACATCCATACCCACTATTTCTTATCTGCACAACAAGTTTGTTTATTTTGTTTCATATTCTACATGCATTTAAGCACAATACCTCCAATCCCGCATTGACCATAGCCCCTTCTCACAACTGTCCCCTTTTCTGCTGTGCCTGAAGTTAGATTCCTGACCCTTTCCATACTCTCTGTCCTATTACTTGTGATGGAAACTTTAATAACCTTTCTTGTGACTACTCTATTTAGCCATTCTGCCAGGATCCTGGTCTCAGAACACCCATACAGTCAGTACAACCAGTTATACGTAGCCAGAGTGTCAACAAAAACTGAACAAAATAGTTCACAGCTTGAGAAAGAGAGTCTGGGTATTGTCTTTGCTTGTGAGCAGTTCAACCAGCATCTTTTTGGGAGAGAGAGGTGATGGTAGAGTCTGCCCACGAAACAATTCAAAGAACATTTCTGAAACAATTTCTATCCGCTCCAAGCTTTGCAGAGGATGTCTCCATATTTGCAGAGATATTACAGAGGCAAACAGAAATGGAAAGCACAGCTAGCTGTGTAGATAGCCCAAAGAAAACAGGTCAGCGAACGCAGTGGTCTAGGCCCGAAACGTCAGCCTTCCTGCTCCTATGAGGCTGCTTGGCTTGCTGTGTTCATCCAGCTCTACACCTTGTTATCTCATTCTCCAGCATCTGCAGTTCCTACTATCTCTGAGCGAATGCAGTACATTCTGATCTTACTGTCTTCCTCTGCAGCATGTGTGGTGGGGACTGTAGTGACAGAGGGAGCTCCTGAGCTACACAAGATGATGTTTAACATAAGGTCAACTACCACCATCAGTGTATTCTCCACATCAACTGTCCCTACACTTCTTCAGTCTAGTGACCCCCATTATGTACCAACAGCAAATGAGGGATCAACATCCTTAAGAGTCATTCCCTGAATTAGAGTCAATCTTTTCCCCCTCTCTTTGTCCCACCTTTCCTCTCTTTGTGTCCCTCTCTCCTGTACATGTGCTGATCCTACTACTACCACTCACCACTGCCTTGGATGCTGTGGGTTTTCCTCTTCTGATCTGCTGTCAGACATATCCAAGGATACACATTCCACACTGATACGTAATATAATACAATACAGTACAGCACAGGAACAGGCCCTTCGGCCCACCAAGCCTGTACAGATTCCTAATCCTTATTTAGACCACTACTTATTGCCCATATGCAGTTTCTATGCTTTAAATCACCTCCTGTTCATGTTTCTATCACACCTTAAACTTTGCCAACATGCCAGATTCCACTACCTCCACTGGCAGTGCATTCCTAGCACCCACGACCCTTTGCATGAAAAGTTTTCCCCACACTTGTGCCCTAAACTTTCCCTCTCTCACCTTGAATCTGCACCCCCTTTTACTTCACCTGTCCAACCTGGAGAAAAGGCTCTGACTATCCACACCTCTCAGTTTTGTATCAGGTGCCCTGTCAGCCTCCATCTTTCCAGAGAAAACAATCTGAGTTTATCCTCATAACTAAAACTCTTCAGACCAGGCTACAACCTCTTCAACCACATCCTTGTAGTAGTATGGCAACCAGAACTGCATGTAATATAACAAATGTGGCCGAACTGAAGTTTTATACAGCTGGAACATAACATGCCAACTTTTATATTTAATATAACTGATGCAGACCCATTAACTACAATTTACATTTTTTTAAAGAGTAGGACTTATTTTCAGATACTTATTCCATACATAAATGTAAATTTTTTATGGTTTCATAATTTGAAGACCACTACGAATTTTGCCATTTATAACAATTTAAACCAGGTGTGAAGTTATAGAGCAAGATTCAATATTGTTATTTAACTACAGTGTTTCATCTGAATGATTGTACCAATGAGACAATTTCCTACTATGGTTCTTCTTTTATGGCATTATGTCACGGTGAAGAATGGTAGATAAAAGGTTTCCTTTTATCACTTTATGCATTTATAGATACTCAATCCGCATATGTTCCTTTTGTCATTATTTCCTTCTCTTTCAGGATGGCTCCCTTATCGTATCCACTTTTAGGATCATACAGTACATCACTTTGACAGAGTCAGAGTCATAGTAACAGACCCATTGGTCCAACCAGTCCATGCCAACCATAATCTCAACTAAACTAGTTCCACCCACCTGCGCTTGGCCTATATCTCTCCAAACATTTCTTATTCATGTACTTATCCAAATGTCTTTTAAATGTTGTAACTATACCCGCATTCACCACTTCCTCTGGAAGTTCATTTCACACATGAAACGCTCTGTGTAAAAAAAAGTTGCCCCCGCCATGTCTTTTTAAAATCTTTCTCCTCTAACTTTAAAAATATGCCCCCTGTTGTCAGTATGAAAGCTTCTGAGGATGAAGAATGCTATTCCCACACTAGAAATCTCTGTCATACATTTATCAGGGGAACTGAGACAGCAGCTGCAATAAGTGAGGTTTTATTCAGATGGGACAATGACAAGTTTAAATCTCCACCTGATCTGCTGCTCAAAGTCACCTCCATTTCACCGGTCAGTTTCCCAAGCTTCAGGAAACTCATGTTGCTGCAGAAATATTTGGATTGACTGTGAGAGACGTCAATCAGAGAGTCCACCCACTCTGCCCATTCTCTCCTCTTCCAGAGCTGGTTCACTTCCTATAGGGACTGAAACCAAGTGAGGAGATGGTGAGTGAAGGAGCAGCTTTTATACAAATTGTATCCCATAATATCCACACCAATCTTCAGGCAGCCTGACTATCCTGTGGGCAATCAGGGGTGGAAATGTCCCTTATGCTGTGTGAGAAGATCCAGCTGAGAGAGCTGTTTACTCGGTGCTTTGTGCTGAACTGTTTGACTGGAGCTGTGTGTTGGATATTGAGTGTGTTTGTTGGAAGCATTTCCCTTCTGATTTCCAGGCTGAGTTTTGTTAATGGCTCATTCCTGAATATGAGAAGCTGAGGTGCAGAGTGTCTGAGGATTCCAGTTGATGTCCTGCTGAGGCCCTAAGCTGCTCCCGGTTTTCCAGGTGAAGTGAAACCAGTGCTTTGTATCCCTGAAACATGACTTCTACTCTCCCTGTATTGTTTTCGTTGAGATATAAAGGCCAACATTTCAATACAGGGCAGAGGAGATTACCATGGAGTTGCATTGGGAGAGAGACCCACTGAGATCTTTCCGGATGAAGAGGACAACTTCACCAATGTGGGCATCTTGGAAAAGGCTTCACAATGGAGTTATAAATCACTCAGAGCTGGCAAGAACTGCAGATGCTGGAGATCCTTCTTCCCAACCCAAAACGTCAACTTTCCTGCTCCTCTGATGCTGCCTGACCTGCTATGTTCCTCCAGCTCCGTACTGTGCTGTCTCTGACTCCAGCATCTGCAGTTCTTGCTATCGCCAACATTTCCTTAGACTTTTTATTATTTTCTGTCCCTTGCTATCTATACTTGGGTCTCCAAATCTCTTTGAACCTCCTGTGTTTCTAGGTTTTTCTCCATTTATAAAAATCGTATTCTGTCCTTTATAGGTTTAAAGTCCTAACGTGGAAATCCAATTGTCACCATTTTGTCTATTTTCTTAAACTGTTTGTGTTTCTTTGTAATTTGCTGTTTTTGTACAGCTCCTCCTTCACATTTTCCCAGCCTTGTTCCCAGACACCCCACACTCTCCAGCCCCCACTTCTTACTCCTCCCTCCCCCTCGGTGAGGTGCATGATAACTCTCTGGCTCCCGTCCACTCCCTCCCCAACCCTATCGCAACCCCCTTAACCACCTCCCTGACTCTGCTCAACCTCACAGTCCCCAGTAGCAGGCAGACCAGTGTTGAATACAGTATTCTAAAATAGCAGGTTGTTTTTCAGACTGGAGGCCCGTGACCAGCATTGTGCCACGGGGATCAGTGCTGGATCACTGCTTTTCATCATGTATATAAATGATTTGGATGTGAATATAGGAGGTATGGTCAGTAAGTTTGCAGATGACACCGCAATTGGTGGTATAGGGGATAGGTGAAGGTTATCTCGGAGGACAATGGGATATTCACCCTCGCAAACCCCTCTCTGACCCTCCATCGCTCCCTTGCTCCCACATGCTCATCCTCTCTTAGCTGACACACGTGTGCGCGCGCACACACACACACACACGCACACACACACACATCTCTCCACTGCACTCATAATCCCAGCCTCTTACTCCAGTGCCCCACCCGATCTACCTCATCTCCCTCTGCCTCCTTGCTTCCCCCCTGCCCTCATTCCATCTCCCCCTCCACACCTACCGGTCCCACTCTCCTCTCCTCCAAACCCCTCTCTCCCCTCTCCTTCCTCTCCCCCTCTCCTGTTCCTCTCCTTCCCCACCACTACTGTCCTCCTCTACTCTCCCATTCTCTGTCTCCTCCCCATCTCCTCTCTTATCTCTACCGCACATGTATGCTTCCCCATTTCTGCTCTCCACCTCCTGCTCCCGCCTCTGCCTTCCACCTTGTGTGACACATCCTAGTGTGTTTTCCTGCCCCCATCCCCTGACACCTGTCAACCCCTCAACCCCACTTGTCCCCAACTTGCACCTCAACATCAATCCCTACTTGTCTCTGAAGCTCCACAAATAGTGACATTGGCCCTCCAACCTCCACAATGTTACTCCGCTCACACAGTGCACTCTTCCCCAGCTGCCTGCTAATGCCTATCTCCCCACATCTTTCCTCTCCTCCTTTCCCTTCTGTCTCTCTGCCATCCCTTCTCTATCACCCTCGATCTGGGAGTCTGTTTCTGTTTTGTTGACTGAAGTTGTTCTCCTGTCTTTCTCCTTCCTGTAGGCCTGGCTGCTCAGAACCACTGTTTAGTAACTCTCATTATCTTGGTGCGTGGTCAGCAGCATCTCTGGACTTTAATTGGCTCGCTAATGTAAGAATAGCAGTGACGAATCTCAAATTCCTGAGACAATCTTTGTCCAATTTGTGATTTGTTTCTTGATAGTAATGGTTGTCTTTCTGAGATCACTTCCTGTTACCACCTGACTGATTTCCTATGGCTTGACCCAGTGTTGCTTCACTTCTAAGTAGCTTCACAGTTTATGTTTGTGTGACAATCTGAGATGAGACTAATTCGGGAAAAGTCAGATCCCAGACTGCACTCTGAATTGACAGACCATAAGTTTTTTTATTTTTACTGTTTGTTTATCATGGCAGTCAGTCAGAGTCATAGAGAAGTACAGCGCAGAAACAGACCCTTCAGTCCAAAAGAGTCCTTGTTGACCAGATATCCTACATTAATCTAATCCCATTTGTCACTATTTGGTCAATATCTGTCTAAACCCTTACTAATCATGTATCCATCCAAATGTTGCATTTGTACCAGCCTCCACCACTTCCTCTGGCAGCTCATTCCATATACCGCCATCCTCGGTGTGAAAAAGTTGCCCCTTAGGTCCCGACTAAATCTTTCTCCTCTCACCTTAAATCTATGCCATCTCATTTTGGACTCCCCTACCCTGGGATAAAGACTGTGGCTATTCACCCTATCCATGCCCCTTATGATTTTATAAAACTTCTATAAGGTCACTCCTCAGCCTCTGATGCTCCAGGGAAAGTAGCCCCAGGCTATTCAGCCTCTCCCTCTAGCTCAAACCCTCCAAACCTGGCAACATCCTCATAAATCTTTTCTGAACCCTTTCAAATTTCACAACATCCTTCCTATAGTAGGGGGACCAGAATTACACACAGTATTCCAAAAGTGGCCTAACCAATGTCCAGTACAGCCTCAACGTGACTTCCTAACTTCTATACTCAATGCACTGACCAATAAAGACAAGCATACCAAACATCTTCTTCACTATCCTGTCTACCTGTGACTCCATTTTCAAGGAACTGTGAACCTGCACTCCAAGGTCTCTTTGTTCAGCAACACTCCCCACGACCTTACTATTAAGTGTGTAAGTCCTGCCCTGAGGTGCCTTCCCAAAATGTAGCACCTCACATTTATCTAAATTAAACTCCATCTACCACTCCTCGGCCCATCTGATCAAGGTCCTGTTATGCTCTAAGGAACCTTCTTCGCTGCCCACTACACCTCCAATTTTGGCGTCATCTGCAAACTTACTAATCATAGCTCCTATGTTCACATCCAAATCATTTGTATAAAAGGCAAAAAGCAACGGACCCAGCACCAATCCTTGTGGCACACCACTGGTCACAGGCCTCCAGTCTGTAAAGCAGCCCTCCACCACCACCTTCTATCTCCTACCTTCAAGCCAGTTCTGTATCCAAATGGCTAGTTCTCCCTGTATTCCATGTGATCTAACCTTGCTAACCAGTCTACCATGAGGAACTGTGTCAAATGCCTCACTGAAGTCCATTTAGATCACATCCACTGTTCTGCCATTACCAATGCTCTTCGTTACTTCTTCAAAAAACTCAATCAAGTTGGTGAGACTCGATTTCCCACGCACAAAGCCATGTTGACTATCCCTAATCAGTCCTCGCCTTTCCAAATACATGTAAATTCTGACCCTCAGAATACCCTCCAACAACTTGCCCATCAGCGATGTCAGGCTCACTGGTCTATAGTTCCCTGACTTTTCCTTACCACCTTTCTTAAATAGTGGCACCACGTTAGCCAAATCTCCAGTCTTCTGGCACCTCACCTGTGGCTATCAATGATACAGATATCTCAGCAAGGGGCCCAGCAATCACGTCCCTAGCTTCCCACAGAGTTCTGGAGTACACCTGATCAGGTTCCAGGGATTTATCCACCTTTATGCATTTTAAGACATGCAGCACCTCCTCCTCTGTAATGTGGACATTTTTCAAGACGTCACTATTTATTTCCCCATGTTCTCTAGCTTCCATATCCTTGACCACAGTAAACACTGATGCAACATACTTGTTTACTATCTTCCCCATCACCTGCGGTTTCACATATAGGCAGTCTTGCTGATCTTTAAGGGGGCCCTGTTCTCTGCATAGTTACTCTTTTGTTACTGCACCTCTAAACAAGAGGCTGTTTGTTAACTTTTTACAAAGGTTTTTTGCACACTAAGGGATAAAAAAGCTATTTTGAACTTTGTAAGTACTGTTTGAAGTCTTCTTATGAATATCAGAAATAAAGATTGTCCTTTTACCCTCAGCAACAACCTTGCAGATACTGAAATCCACTGAAGAGTCACCATGGTTCTACTTGAAGTTTCTTGTTCAATTGGCATAGATATATTTGCAGCAATCCTCTGCATTCACTCAATATCTGATATGATTTCATGAAAAGCAATAACAATCCATAAATTGTGTTCCTTAATCCTATTCATTCATCGTACAATATCTTCTTCTGTGGCACCTTAAAACCTTCTCTTTCAGGAATGTTTCTCTTATTGGGACTTCTTTTCCAATGCACTGACTTCTGAAGACTGCTAAACTGCATTGCTGATGTTCCAGGTCTTTTCTATTTGAAAAAAAAACACTCACCTTTTGAACATTTCTGTCCTTGTAAAAAGACATTGTTTCCATCTCTGGCTCCCTGTCTCATACGACACCTTATTGTTAGGCAAAAGCTCATTTTATGCCCCCTCTCTTGCCCCTTATTTTCTAAATCACTGAACTATTCACCCTCAGGGACTTTTCAAAATAATACCTCATTTATTTGCATCTAAACTCACTTTGAGACAACCTATTACCACTGTCAGGACTAGTCTAAAATTAAACTAAAACTATTTCCTTCCCTCTGAACAGACACAATATAAAAATACAATAAAACATAAAGATATGCATGGTTCCAAAGATTCCAAATAATAACATGTCAAGAAACGTCCTCCCATTAGACCATGGTCATAAACACAATGATAAAGTTAAACAAAGACCTGTGCAAATGGAAGAACTTAACAGTCAGAAAATTGCAACTGTAAACAAAGACACAGTATTTTATTGACCACAATTAAACAATATAACATTTACAATTCACTTCAGCATTGCACATAATTAAATGATAACCAATTATTGAAAAATAAACTCAGTGCTACACTTCACTTTTAAAACATTCCATGACACTGATTCCATCTCTCCCTGGGAAAAAGCATTTTGCATGGCCATCTGAAGAAAAAAATTCTTCTCAACTCCATCTTAAAGTGTGAGCCTCCCCCACAGAGGGAAATGTCCATTCATTCCCTCAATGTGTTTCTATCGGATCACCCCTCATTCTTCTGAACTCCAATGGATTTAGGCTTAACATGTTCAATCTTTCCTCATAAGACAAGGCCTTCATCCAGGAATGAATTGAACTTTCATGGATGAATTTGAACTCTGAATCGCTGCATCATTAATCCAGTACTGTATCAGCTGTTGGCAGCTATCCCTGGAGACATGTTTTTTGAAATATCTTTCAATGTCTTTTGTTTCACAGATTTTACCTGAAGACCCCAGCCTTTCCTAAAAGTGTGCATTAGAATTTGAAGTCAGTCCCTTCAGCAAAAGAGAAGAGAGAGGGTTGAAGGAAATCATATTTCCTTTTCCTGTTTTACGGAAGGATTGCACTGTACTACACCAGAGAATACAGAGAGGATAGACACTACAGATCCTGACCATCACCCAAGGAACAACTGCATAATTCTGGGAAACCATCCAGTCCCTTTACAGCATTGCTAGACATAGAGAAAGTTGGGCAGTGAAACCATCATCTGGAAATCAATCAGGTCAGGGGAGCTTTGACAATTCATCAGATCTGAAACTGGTCAGTGGTGTGGAGCCTTCTGAAGGTTCGGCTGTGGGTGATCAGTCAGGGTGAAGCTGGGAAGAAGTGTGAGTGGCTCTAAGTGTGGTGAGAGTTCCAATCGTTCATCGAGCCTCATGAACTACTGACTCATTCCTACAGGTGAGAAACTGTTCAAGTGTGAGGAGGGCTCCACAGGCTCATCAGATCCCCTAACACAAGGTGTATCTATTGAACAGACAGATGGAAGAGAAACCATTCAAATGTGAGGTTTGTAATCAAGACTTCACAAGGTCATCGACGCTTGTGAAACACCGACGTGTGCACACTGGGGAGAAACCTTTCACATGTGAGGTGTGCAAAAAATCATTCATGCAGTCGTCAAATCTCCACAATCACCAACGTATTCACACAGGGGAGAAACCATTCACCTGTGATGTGTGTGACAAGTCCTTTTCCGAGTCATCCCACCTCCGTGTTCACCGACGCATTCACACAGGGGAGAAACCATTCACCTGTCAGGTGTGTAACAAATCATTCTCAGATTCATCGACCCTCCGCAGACACCAACGTATTCACACAGGGGAGAAACCATTCACATGCGGTGTATGCCGCAAATCTTTTTCATATTTATCAACACTCCGTGTACACCAACGCATTCACACAGGGGATAAAGCATTCACATGCGAAGTGTGCAACAAATCATTTTCTCAGTCATCAAATCTCCATACACATCAACACACTCACACAGGCAAGAAGCCATTCATGTGCAAAGTGTGTGACAAAACATTCTCTACATTATCGAACCTTCGGGAACATCAACGCATTCACACAGGAGAGAAACCATTCATGTGTGGGGTGTGTGGCAAGCCATTCTCACAGCTATCGAATTTCCTCATTCATGAACGCATTCACACAGGAGAAAAACCATTCAAGTGTGAGATGTGTAGCAAAGCCTTCACACGGTTATCAAGCCTCCTGGTCCATCAGAAGATCCATATACCAGACAAACCCTTCAAATGTTGTGTTTGTGATAAAGCTTTTGTGACATCCACAAGGCTGCTGACACACCAGAGGATTCACACAGGGGAGTAACCCATGAAGTAGAGGTGCAGAATTGAGTCTTCACAAACTAACTGAATCAGCTCCTCCTTCAAACACAGATATAAACTGTTGATGTGCAATGTTTTTGATAAGGCTTTAAGTCCCTTCTCAAGTCTCCTGATGTAGTAGAGGATCCGTACCAGTGTGAAACCATTCAGGTGTGAGGTGTGTGAGAAACCTTGCACTTTGAGGCTATCACACAAGAGAAGCCCTATCAGTGTAAGCTCTGTATTGAAGTCAGTTATTGGACCTTCTGGAACATCAATGAATCTACATGGGAGACAAACTCTTCCAGTGTGACATGTGCCAGGATTGTTTCACCTCCTCCTCATTCACCAGACACGGACTTGGTGCTGAGTCACCTGCTTATGTTGCACTGAGAGCTGTCATTCCAAAGCACTGTCAGTTTCAAACTTTTCCCATCATCACTCCAGTCATGTTAAGGATGTCAGTTTAATCTTTAACTGGATCATCAAACATCACCAAATGAAGACATCAATATAGAAGCTGTTGCTTGTGCATAGATAACACTGTGTCTCTGGGAAGGTTTCCTCAGCCACAGGAAGTGGGTGATTCAGGGGAATGTGTGTCTGGATTATTCCTGCTGTGGACAAGAGGGATACAAGCTACTCATCAGAAGATATGTTACATTGTTACATTCTGAGTGTCTGCTGCTTTGCAGCTTCAGAGAAGAGAACAGAATTTCCTCTCAATGCAACATGTTATGAAGGTGAATAAAAACCGAAAGAACTGCGGATGCTGTAAATCAGGAACAAAAACAAGGGTCACCAGACCCGAAACGTTAACTCTGTTTTTCCTTCACAGATGCTGCTAGACCTGCTGAGCTTTTCCTGCATCTTTATTTTTGTTCATGTTATGAAGGTGTGTCATTTAATCGTTTTTATGAACTTGAGTTGAAAGATTGTGGACTCACCTCGATTGACCTTTTACAGCAAAAACAATGAAAATTGATGTTAGAATTTTGTCTTCAAGCAAGGTATTTCTTGGAAACCACATTGTCCCAGAACTGGGCTTGGTCGCCTGAACTCACTTTAGGGAAAACTCCTTCAGGTCTTGATTTTATTACTATTCTGTTTAAGTTGTGTTTGCAGGCTTTATGTTTGGAATTTTATTTGGAGAAAGCCTGCTCCAGAAGAAGCTGCCCAGCTTGTGTCTCCTGTTTCTAAAGTACATTTGTTGTGAGCTCGGGGTGAAAGCTGATTCTTCTTCTGGGAGAGTGACAGAAATAACATTGAGAAGTTCGATTTCCTCAGCAAGTTGCATCTGCCGGATTGACAAACTTCAGAGCACTCTACACGTCATCCTGTTTTATCTGAATGAATCGCCACCTTTGAACATAAAGTATCTTTTATTAAAGTGAATGTCTGCAGAGAAATACATTTTCTTCCCTTTGCCTGAAGAGTGTGTGTGCATTTTGTGTTAGTTGGAGGGATAAAACTTTCTATATTCATATTATAAACTGTGAGTGTTTAACCTATTTTGTATCCCCATTGAATGGGTTTCATTTTATAATGAATGAATAATGCTATGATTATTCATAAAACTTGGATGATTCAAAGCCTAGCATCGAGAAAGTTTGGGATTGTCTGTATTGGGAATGGGGTAGAATCTTTTTGTCAAGTTGTGACTCTGGAGGAGTAAGACAAAAGCAACAGTGCAGTGCACTATTCTCATCGTGGTCATCACAAAACTAATTCAGAAATTACCTTTCCATTGGATTTTTAGATCTTGCAGTGTTCTGAGAAATTCCAAGTCTGTGAGAAACGTTCGAAAGAAACTAACACTAAAGTTTAATCGAATATGTGAACAGATTTTAACATCATTATCTAATATTGTTGCTAGTCAAAGACAAAATGCTGTTTCTACAAGTATACAAAATGCAGAGAGTGAATCTGCAGCATTTAGTTTTGTTATTTTTGATATAAAGTCAATGTGGAACTATATCACAGTTCCCTTGTCAGAATTCCAATGCATTGTTTCACAGGCACTCCCTACATCTGAAACCAGTTATCACTATAACTTTTCTGTCTGCCTTGGTATTAAGGGAGTGGATATGAAGGTGTATCTGGGGAAACAGCCAAGGTAAGAGAGGGAATGGTTTTAGTGGGGTCTCAGAGGACATGTGGAGTGAGGGTGGGTTTGAATAAATCAGTCACTGCAGAAATGTTGTGGTGAATGGATGGTCAAAGGTCTGGACAGTTAACTTCACTCTCAAAAGTCTATCAGTGAATTGAGGAATAGTTTTTTTCCAGGGAGGAAAAAGGAGGAGGTAGTGCTGGAATGTTGAAGGGGGATGTGGGTAATCCATGGAAGTGATCAGAGTTAGCCTTCTCTGTGATTGATACGATGAGAGGGGTGAGGCCAGGTGACACGGCAAAGTCAAAGAGGTGGCCAGGAAGCTGGCTTAGAGAAATCACTGAAACTGAGTGTCAGGACAAACAAGGAAACTTCAGGAAAGACATACAGTTGATACTTTGAAGTATTAATTTCTGACACACATAAAGCATAGCCGGATCTTGTCAGCTCATTCTTGCAATTGCTGGAATTGATCCAATTGGGTTATATTTGAAAAGAAAAGAGGCCAGTGCCTTATCCATTAGGTCACTGGGCTATACAAAATGGGTGTTTGGTGATTGTAACGTAACCCTTTGCCTCTATGTTATCACTGCCAGATTTGATGCCTTTTTGTGGGCAATTAATACTAGCCCAGCCTGCAGTCCTGTTATGCATGGTCTGAGTAGATAGGGAGAATCTGTTCCCACTCAGAAAAGAATCAAGACTAGAAGGCATGGATTTAAAGTGACTTGCAAAAGAGGCAAATGTAAACAAAAAAACACCTTTTCACTCAGCAAGTACATAAGGAATGGAGTGCACTGCCTGGAAATGAGGTGGAGGCAGGTTCAACTGAGGCATTCAAGAGGGCATTGCATCATTTTTTTGAATATTCTTTTATTCATTCACGGGATGTGGGCATTGCTGGTTGGGCCAGCATTCATTGCCCATCCCTAGTTGCCCTTGAGAAGGTGGTGGTGAGCTGCCTTCTCGAACCACTGCAGTCCATGTGCTCTAGGTTGATGCACAATGCTCTCATGGAGGGAATACCAGGATTTTCACCAGCAGCACTGAAGGAACGGTGATATATTTCCAAGTCAGGATGGTGAGTGGCTTGGACGGGAACTTGAAGGTGGTAGTTTTTCCATGTATCTGCTGCCTGTGCCGTTTTAGATGGAAATGGTTGTGTGTTTAAAGGATTATGTTGAAGGAGTTTTCTTGAATTTCTGCAGTGCATTTTGTAGATAGTACACACCACTGCTATTGAGCGTCGTTGGTGGAGGGAATGGATGCTTGTGGATGTAGTGCCAATCAAGTGGCTGCTTTATCTTGAATGGTATCAAGCTTTTTGAGTGCTGTTGGAGCTGCACTCATCCAGGCAAATGAAGAGTATTCTATCACACTCCTGACTTGTGCCTTGTAAGTGATGGACAGACTTTGAGGAGTCAGGTGGTGAATTACGTGCTATGGTATTCCTAACCCCTGACCTGCTCTTGTAGCCACTGTGTTTATGTGGTGAGTCCAGTTGAGTTTCTGGTCAATGGTAACTCTCAGGATATTGATCGTGGGTATTCAGTGATGGTGCCACCTTTGAGTGTCAAAGGGCAGTGGTTGGATTGTCTCTTACTGGTGATGGTCATTACCTGGTACTTGTGTGGCGCGAATGTTACTTGCCATCTGTTGGGCCAAGCGTTGGTATTATCCCGACCTTGCTGCTCTGAGTGCTGCCCTCTGTCTGAGTGATGTCCCCAGTCCAGGTACTGTCCCCCCTACTCTGACTGCTGTCCCCTGCTCTGAATGCTGCCTCCTCCTCCTGCTCTGAATGCTGCCCTCCCCCACTGCAAATGCTGCCTCCCCTACCCCGCTCCAAATGCTGCCCCCTGCTCTGAATGATTCCCCCCACCATTCCAAATTCTGTGGCCTCCCTCTCTGACTTCTGCACCCGCTCTGAGTGCTGCCCTCAAGCATTGACATTATGGCCACCACGGTGCAATCCTGATTGGTCACTCTGATCCCTCCCCCAAAATTTGTGATAACGATCCAGAGGAATGTTGTTCACTTCTTGTGGGACATGTAGCTGTCCTGGATCATTGCTGATTTACTGACTGTCCTCCTTAGGGAGAGTGCTCATGACCTACTGTGCCTTTACATTGCCCAAGTGTCAATGTTCTGTCTCCAAATATTGCCAGAATGCCTTTACATTGAGCACCCCCTCGATAATGTGCCCTGACATATCTCCCACCGGATGCATAGCCTCAGTTATAATGCGCAACTCCTGTTTAGAGCTCTCAATTATCTTTTCAGCTGTTTGCAGGAGCTGTCCATCTTTTCCCAGAAACTGATTGTCATCTGGATCATGGCTGCCTCATACCTGAGCTCTCTCCCATCAGCAGCGACACTGCTGCTCAGGAATCTACACCTTCATCCATATGGGGTCAGGTGGCTAGCAGGAGAGAGGGGGAATTGGCTGCTGTGGTCACCAGAGTTGGGAACATGCTGAGCATGAACATGACAGCAGAGGAACGAGCTGGATGATCACCCCTGTTGTGTATCTGTGGATGTCCAGCTCACAGCTAATGCCATCCAGAGCCTTAGAAACATAGTATTCAGCCGTGACTGCATTCATGATACCAAGTTTGGAGTCCAGACTGAACGGAATTTGAGCTCCCTCGTCGAAATTTCCTTTGTATCATTATAGCCAGCATGGAGAGCTTACCTCTGGGCCTTGACTGTTTCTCATTGTTTGCTTGGCCACTTCAGTGCCGTATGGGTGTTAGTTTACCATGATTTTAAACCAGTATGTGCCTTTACAGTGTTAATGGAAATTTATTCATCTTGTGGGACTGTATAACCAGAGAGAGAAAACATTTAATCTTTATTTTAAGTGGAAGCTAAGAGGAGTAAGTTGTTTTTAAAATTTAGTTCAAAAGCTTTTGGGCCATTCGATATTCCCTCCTAAAGAAAGTTGATTGATGAGAACTATGAAAGAAATAAGTTACCTCAATGTAAATGCATAGTTTGTGAAATTGCAAAATTATGAGTGTTTGTTTAGAACTTTGCAGATTATTAAAACACTGAGAAAGTTGAAGTTTGCAGTTGTGTGAGTGGTCAAGGTAAAAGGCCCCACAGCTCACAGGACTGAAGCTGAACAGCAAAAGCAAAGTAGCATGCTTTTATTTCAGTGAGAGACTGGCATGTTTAAACAAGATTAAATAAAAATCATCATCACCCAAGGAACAACGGCACAACTGTGGGAAGACATCCAGTCCCTTCACAGCGCTGCTCAAAACAGAGAAGATCGGCCAGTGAAACCATCGTATGGAAATCGGTTGGATCTTTGTGATGACATCACCAGTGCTGAGGGATTATGATGTCAACAATGGAGCCACCCTGCAGTGTGATGTCAGTGACACAGGACTTGGAGCAATCCCCATGCAGTGAGGGCAACGCGTTGTGTTTGTGTCCAGAGCGTTAACATGCACTGAACAACACTGTACACAGATTGAGAAAGAGAGTCTGGAATAACATCTTTAATTGTAAGCTTTTCAAATAGTACTTGTTTGGGAGGGAGACGTGATGGTGGCCTCTGTTCAGAAGCCATTTCAAAGCTTTTTTCAAACCACTTCTAGCTGCTCCAAAGTATTTGTAAATTATGTTACTTCATTTGTAGGGATATCATTTGGCAGGAAGTACAAAGCAAGGGAAGCAGATGTACATCATTGACATGCTAATGACAGCTGCAGTCTCTGAAGGAAATCGATGCTTGGACAGAATATGAAATATTCCAGATTCAACAAGAAGCAACAGCACAACATGCTCTGGAAACCATCAACCCAGCATTGAATCTGACAGACCGGCGTCTTGCTCAGATGAAACAAATTTCACGAAGAGATGCAACTCTTCAAGAAGTTACAGGAAATTGTGATGAAAAACCTTTGTTGCTGTAAAAGAGTATTGGACAAACAGATGAGCTGATTGCCCAAGATGGCATCTTGTACAAATGCAGTAGGTCATTTTCCCTGAAAGAGATAAGAGATGCCAAAACACATCCTACCACAAACTGTCAAGGAATCGAATCTAGAATTATAGAATCCCTAAAGTGCAGATAAAGACCATTTGGCCAATTGGATCTGCACTGACCCTCTGAAGAGCATCCCACCCCGATAAACACCCCTCTGCCACCCAATCCAATCTATGTAACCCTGCAAATCCCATGGCTAACTCACATAGCTTATACATCCCTCGATGCTACAAGGCAATTTAGCATGGCTAATCCACCTAAACTACACATCTTTGGTCTGTGG